CCACTGACTCTGGGCCCAAGAGTCCCCAGGCCTCTTCACACTGCTTGTCAACCAGGTCCCCAACTGGATCCACAGCAAAGACTAATATTTTCTGTATATTCGTTGTCAGGCACTTTACATACGAGATCTAATTAAACCTTTAAAACAACCTTAACAGGAGGGTGTTATCAGTCTCAAAATAGTTTCCCATAACTCACTGGGCAGCAACAACTGACTTGAACGGACAGGAATCTATATCAAGTCTTTATTCCACTTGACGTTAAGAAGTCATAAGGAATATTTGCTGTAGAAACATTCATGCATTTGAAGATGGGGTGCTGGCTCAGAACTAGCAAAGGATGTTACAAAATAAATGTTACATGCATCATATTGCCTTTGCAAAATCCCCCAAATTCTGAATTGTAACGCACACCTGTGTTTAGCACTGGGGTCACACAGAGAGTCTTCTTAAATGTTCTCACTAGGAAGCTGGGTAATGGTTGAAGGGCAGAGGTGGGGAAAGAGACCAACATTCGTGTTTATTCTCCCAGGCTCAAAAAACATATTCTTTGAGTAACAAATGACAGAGATAAAATGAAAAGCTAGAATGTGGTCCCAATGTCGACAAGCCATATAATCCTTCCCCATCGTAAATGTTAGGGTGGCTTCTTAGTCCCAAAACAACTCTCGGGGCTCACCTTTCTTCTCTCTCCTTGGGTTCCCATCTTTACCTGACCTTTCTCTAAAAGGCAGCAAAGGTGGCGTGGGGAGAATGCAGACGTGAAGGGGACCTGGTGGCACTGACCACAAGATCGGCAGTTCAAACCCACCAGCTGCTTTGGGCAAGAAAAATGAATCTTTCTGCTCCCAGAAAGAGTTACAGCCTCGGAAACTCTGTACAGGGTCACTAGGAGTCAGAATCGACTCGATGGCAGTGGGTTTGGGCTTTTTGGATTCTTGGGCTGCTAATCGGAAGGGCTGGTGGTTCGAACCCAGGAGCTGCTCTGCTTCCACATAGATTTACAGCCTGGGAAACCCTATGGAACAGTTCTACTCTGTCCTTTAGGGTCACTGTGAGTTGAAATTGATGCAAAAGCAATGGATTTTGGTGGGTTTAGGGTCCAGGTTTGTGAGCTAATAAAACTCTGAGCCTCAGAAAGTGGAGACCACGACCACCAACCAGTAAAGGCCCATAGTTTAAAAAAAACAAAACAAAACCCAAAGCACTGTTCAAAAGCAGGGGCTAACTGACACTGATCCAAATCTGACCTGCTGCCTGTTTTTGTAAATAAAGTTTTATTGGAACACAGCCACGCCCATTTGTTTCTGTATTGTCTATAGAAGTCTTCAGGGACTCAGGGAGCTCAGTCCCTGTCAGCAAGTGTCAGGCCTTCTTTCGTTCTGTAGCATCCACAGTGGCAGGCATCCTTCCTTGAAGAGTGGGGACAATGCCAAAGTCTTGAATTGCTGAGGTGAACATAATCCCCAAGGCATTTGGTTCAAGTACAGATCTTCCATGAGTCTCAGTTAAACACTACAGCTGCCAAACCACAAGTCTGGAGTAAAAGACACAGCCACGGCGGCAGGAAACCAAATCCTACAAATTAATGTGTCAGGGCCGTGCAAAAAGGAACGGCTCAAAGAGTACATCATCCATTTGGGGAGCTATACAGTACAGTAACATTCAGGATGAAACGCCATGAAAAAGTCCTGTCCTCAAAGCCTACTTACTGCATTGTTAGAAAACATTATGCTTATGTCCTGTGAAAGAGAATTAAAATATCTATACAAAAGAAACTCAATTTTGTAAAAGTGTGTTATATATCATGTCACAGACATGCACTGTTAGTGGTGTGATTGAGCATGGCTTTTATTTTCTTTAAGCTTTCTGGATTTTCTATGCTAAACAGTTATCTTTTGCTTTTAGCCCATGAAGTAGGGGATCTCAAGCTCATTATGGCTTAAACAAAACTCCTGGTCTCACCCCAAAATCTGCTTTACCCGCAGCTCTCCTCGTGTCGACTGAAATACAGCAATTCTATTCTTCTGGTTACTCAAGGTAAAACCAAATTAGGGTTATCATTAACTACTCCTCTTTCTCACGTTCCACATGCAATCCATCAAAAAACTTGTCAACGATCCCTTCAAAATATATCCAGATCTGACTGCTGCTCGTGAACTTCCTGTTACTCCTCTGGTCCGTGGCAAAGTCATCTCTCACCTGGATTTCTGCTGCAGTCTTCTAACAGACGATCTTAGTTCTCTACATTGTCATCAAAGCCTTGTCAGCAGATGATCCTGATCAAGGAGATTATCAACCAAAACTCTTTAATCTAATGAGCTTCAGAGGTGTCTGGAACCA